TTGCATTATTACCTCAACGCCATGTATGGCAAACAGGCATCTACCGCCAGCAAACATCCTCTAGCAAGCGCTGGTTGAAATATACAGCCATAAAAGCCGTACACTCAGGCAAAGCGCTGCATAGCCACCACAACTCTGCTTTCGGCCCCCGATGCGGCGACTTGCCACTCAATTCAAGCTGCTCGGGTTGTTCCTGTTGCATTATACCTCCACGCGTTTTACAGCACGCAGGCATCTTCAGCCAGCAAGCACCCTCTAGCAAGCGCTGGTTGAAATATACAGCCATCAAGGCCGTACACTCAGGCAAAGCCTTGCGTAGAAACTCTGCTCTGCCCTTTCTGGTTTGCCTGGCTGCTTCCACACCTGCTTGCCACTCAATTCAAGCTGCTTGGGTTGTTCCTGTTTGCATTATACCTGTACGCTTCTTACAGCACGCAGGCATCTTCAGCCAGCAAGCATGCTCTAGTTGAAATATACAGCCATTTAGACCATACACTCAGGCAAAGCGCTGCATACCGGCCACAACTCTGCTTTCGGACCGTGATGAGGCGACTTGCCGCTCAATTCAAGCTGCTTGGGTTGTTCCTGTTGCATTATACCTCCACGCTCTTTACAGCACGCAGGCATCTTCAGCCAGCAAGCACCCTCTAGCAAGCGCTGGTTGAAATATACAGCCATCACGGCCGTACACTCAGGCAAAGCCTTGCGTAGAAACTCTGCTCTGCCCGGCTCTGCCCATTCTGGTTTGCCTGATTTTGCCTGGCTGCTTCCACATCAAGCAAGCTTGCAACTCAATTCAAGCTGCTTGGGTTGTTCCTGTTGCATTATACCTCCACGCTTTTTATAGCACGCAGGCATCTTCAGCCAGCAAGCACCCTCTAGCAAGCGCTGGTTGAAATATACAGCCATCAAGGCCGTACACTCAGGCAAAGCCTTGCGTAGAAACTCTGCTCTTCCCTGCCTGGCTTGCCTGGCTGCTTCCACATCAAGCCAGCGTGCCATTCAATCGGCTTGGGTTGTTCCTGTTGCATTATACCTTCACGCTTTTTACAGCACGCAGGCATCTTCAGCCAGCAAGCACCCTCTAGCAAGCGCTGATTGAAATATACTGTCATCAAGGCCGTACACTCAGGCAAAGCCTTGCGTAAAAACTCTGCTCTGCCCTGCCTGGTTTGCCTGACTGCTTCCACATCAATCCAGCGTGCCACTCAATTCAAGCTGCTTGGGTTGTTCCTGTTGCATTATACCTCCACGCTTCTTGCAGCACGCAGGCATCTTCAGCCAGCAAGCATCCTCTAGCAAGCGCTGGTTGAAATATACAGCCATCAAGGCCATACACTCAGGCAAAGCCTTGCATAGAAACTCTGTTCTGCCCTGCCTGGTTTGCCTGATTTTGCCTGGCTGCTTCCACATCAAGCCAGCGTGCCACTCAATTCAATCGGCTTGGGTTGTTCCTGCTGCATTATACCTTCACGCTTTTTACAGCACGCAGGCATCTTCAGCCAGAAAGCACACTCTAGCAAGCGCTGGTTGAAATATACAGCCATCAAGGCCGTACACTCAGGCAAAGCCTTGCGCATTTTTTTCTTTGCCCTGCCTGGTTTGCCTGGCTGCTTCCACATCAAGCTTGCCACTCAATTCAAGCTGCTTGGGTTGTTCCTGTTGCATTATACCTCCACGCTTTTTACAGCACGCAGGCATCTTCAGCCAGCAAGCACCCTCTAGCAAGCGCTGGTTGAAATATACATCCATCAAGGCCGTACACTCAGGCAAAGCCTTGCGTAAAAACTCTGCACTGCCCTGCCTGGTTTGCCCGGCTGCTTCCACATCAAGCTTGCCACTCAAATCCAGCTGCTTGGGTTGTTCCTGTTGCATTATACCTCCACGCTTTTTACAGCACGCAGGCATCTTCAGCCAGCAAGCACCCTCTAGCAAGCGCTGGTTGAAATATACTGCCATCAAGGCCGTACACTCAGGCAAAGCCTTGCGTAAAAACTCTGCTCTGCCCTGCCTGGTTTGCCTGGCTGCTTCCACATCAAGCTTGCCACTGAATTCAAGCTGCTCGGGTTGTTCCTGTTGCATTGTACCTTCACGCTTTTTACAGCAGCAAGCAACCGCTAGCAAGCACTGGTTGAAATATACAGCCATCAAGGTCGTACACTCAGGAAAAGCATTGCGTAGAAGCTCTGCTCTACCCATTCTGGCTTGCCTGGCTGCTTCCACATCAAACCAGCGTGCCACTCAATTCAAGCTGCTTGGGTTGTTCCTGTTGCATTATACCTCCACGCTTTTTCAGCACGCAGGCATCTTCAGCCAGAAAGCACCCTCTAGCAAGCGCTGGTTGAAATATACTGCCATCACGGCCGTACACTCAGGCAAAGCCTTGCGTAAAAACTCTGCTCTGCCCTGCCTGGTTTGCCTGGCTGATCCTGGCTGCTTCCACATCAAGCCAGCTTGCCACTCAATTCAAGCTGCTTGGGTTGTTCCTGTTGCATTATACCTCCACGCTTTTTACAGCACGCAGGCATCTTCAGCCAGCAAGCATCCTCTAGCAAGCGCTTGTTGAAACATACATCCATCAAGGCCGTACACTCAGGCAAAGCCTTGCGTCGAAACTCTGCTCTTCCCTGCCTGGTTTGCCTGACTGCTTCCACATCAAGCTTGCCACTCAATTCAAGCTGCTTGGGTTGTTCCTGTTGCATTATACCTCCACGCTTTTTATAGCACGCAGGCATCTTCAGCCAGCAAGCACACTCTAGCAAGCGCTGATTGAAATGTACAGCCATCAAGGCCGCACACTCAGGCAAAGCCTTGCGTAGAAACTCTGCTCTGCCCATTCTGGTTTGCCTGAATTTGCCTGGCTGCTTCCACATCAAGCCAGCTTGCCACTCAATTCAAGCTGCTTGGGTTGTTCCTGTAGCATTATACCTCCACGCATTTTACAGCACGCAAACATCTTCAGCCAGCAAGCACACTCTAGCAAGCGCTGGTTGAAATATACAGCCATCAAGGCCGTACACTCAGGCAAAGCCTTGCGTAGAAACTCTGCTCTGCCCATTCTGGTTTGCCTGATTTTGCCTGGCTGCTTCCACATCAAGCCAGCTTGCCACTCAATTCCAGCTGCTTGGGTTGTTCCTGTAGCATTATACCTCCACGCGTTTTACAGCACGCAGGCATCTTCAGCCAGCAAGCACACTCTAGCAAGCGCTGGTTGAAACATACAGCCATCAAGGCCGTACACTCAGGCAAAGCCTTGCGTAGAAACTCTGCTCTGCCCTGCCTGGTTTGCCTGGCTGCTTCCACATCAAGCCAGCTTGCCACTCAATCGGCTTGGGTTGTTCCTGTTGCATTATACCTCCACGCTTTTTACAGCACGCAGGCATCTTCAGCCAGCAAGCACCCTCTAGCAAGCGCTTGTTGAAATATACAGCCATCAAGGCCGTACACTCAGGCAAAGCCTTGCGTCGAAACTCTGCTCTGCCCATTCTGGTTTGCCTGATTTTGCCTGGCTGCTTCCACATCAAGCCAGCTTGCCACTCAATTCAAGCTGCTTGGGTTGTTCCTGTTGCATTATACCTCCACGCTTTCTATAGCACGCAGGCATCTTCAGCCAGCAAGCATCCTCTAGCAAGCGCTGGTTGAAATATACAGCCATCAAGGCCGTACACTCAGGCAAAGCCTTGCGTAGAAACTCTGCTCTTCCCTGCCTGGTTTGCCTGGCTGCTTCCACATCAAGCCAGCTTGCCACTCAATTCAATTGGCGTGGGTTGTTCCTGTTGCATTATACCTCCCGCTTTTTACAGCACGCAGGCATCTTCAGCCAGCAAGCACCCTCTAGCAAGCGCTTGTTGAAATATACAGCCATCAAGGCCGTACACTCAGGCAAAGCCTTGCGTAGAAACTCTGCTCTGCCCATTCTGGTTTGCCTGATTTTGCCTGGCTGCTTCCACATCAAGCCAGCTTGCCACTCAATTCAAGCTGCTTGGGTTGTTCCTGTTGCATTATACCTCCACGCTTTTTATAGCACGCAGGCATGTTCAGCCAGCAAGCATCCTCTAGCAAGCGCTGGTTGAAATATACAGCCATCAAGGCCGTACACTCAGGCAAAGCCTTGCGTAGAAACTCTGCTCTTCCCTGCCTGGTTTGCCTGGCTGCTTCCACATCAAGCCAGCTTGCCACTCAATTCAATTGGCGTGGGTTGTTCCTGTTGCATTATACCTCCCGCTTTTTACAGCACGCAGGCATCTTCAGCCAGCAAGCAACCTCTAGCAAGCGCTGGTTGAAATATACATCCATCAAGGCCGTACACTCAGGCAAAGCCTTGCGTAGAAACTCTGCTCTGCCCATTCTGGTTTGCCTGATTTTGCCTGGCTGCTTCCACATCAAGCCAGCTTGCCACTCAATTCAATCGGTGAAATATATAGCCATCAAGGCCGAACACTCAGGCAAAGCCTTGCCTAGTCCCACAGATATTTGTTCTTCCTTGTTGCTAACAAGCCGGTGGCTTTAGCCGCTCCAATTTTTGTGGGCAACGTGAGTCAAAGGTCCAAACAGGCTGCAGACCAAGAGAGGAGTGCAACAACCAATCAGTACCTGTCTGTGTGTTCCCCAGTGGCATCCTCAGTAGCCATGCACGTACTTACGTGTGCCGTTGCATTGGGGAAAACAATTCAAACACCTTGCAAACTGAGCCACAAAGCTGAGAGGTAGCCATCTAAGTCTATAACCACTAGACCCCAAATAATCTAAGGTACCGCGCAACCGTATCCCATCTACGGTGACCGAATGATTCAAAGTACCCCGCGACCATTCGGATTGGTGGCTGGGACGGTTTGGACGGGTGGCGTCCCATCTACCCTCAGAAACAAGGGCTCAAATCCAAATCCAAACCAAACCCATCCTCGCCCCGCCGCTCCCGCCCCCCCCCCCCCAAAAAAAAACAACAACAAGGAAGAACACAAACACAAAAAACAAAACAAAACCATCCCCAAAACACTCCCTCACTCACAGGCAAACAACACCCGCTCGCTGAAGCCTTCCATCGCTCTCGCCGGCCTTAGCGTCTCGGAGGCTTTGACCTTCTGCTCTGCCAAAGCGGCCTTGCTCTCCTGGAGTCGTGGATGTCTATGAGTGAAGATTCTTGGAGTGACAAGTGATTGGGAAGGATGAAGTTAGGACGAAGAAGAGGTTGAGAGACTAAAGGAGTTCATGGTCAACCTCATTTCATCTTGATCCTGGCTCACCTTCCTTCATTCTCTAAACCATCCACACATAGAGATTTAGAAAAGGTGAATGGATATCTCAACGGAATCGATCAACCGCCCGAACGGCGTGGGCTTGCAAACACTGACGGCATGGTCTTGCAGCCCCCTAATTATGAACGGAACCCAAAAGCAAAAACAACTTGCCAACAACAGTGAAGGAATCCACAAATTTCGCGAAGAGAAGCCAAAAGGTTGAATGGTCTGTCAGTTGAGTTTACGACTAAACAACTGCAAGCGGATCCCCTCAGATAACACAACATCCATTTGGCTTTTTGTGGGGGGGATCTTCCAAATTGCGGTGGCTCCTCCAGTGTTTGGGGGAAGCTGTTTTGTCTCTTTTAGTAGGGTCCCGCTCTTTTAGTAGGGTCCCGAACCCTGCCAACCAAAAAAGAAAGACTAAAAGGGCGCCAATTGCTGAAACACCTCTCGTCCGTGTCCTCCGCCAGCTGCTTCTCCAGCTTCTTGGCATCTTCCGCTGCCTGACTGACTGTCGATTGGATTTGGACTGAAATGGATTCTGAAACCATAGGTGAAAATCCACCAGGTACGTGGCCCTGGTAGATGGCCCTGGTGTCCTTTTAGGTTGGAAATAGATGGGTTTCCCTGGTAGATGAGAAAAAAACCCACCAGGTTTAAGAAGGTAAACCAGATATCGAAACCCATCTATGTTTCGAGCAAAGCAACCAAAAAGGAGACCTATGACTGAAACGCCTCAAGTGATTCGGATGCCCGCTGGGACCCAACAATTTGACTGGTTGATTCGTCCTGGATTCCCATGACTGAGTCTCAGCTTCCCGCTAGTTGGTTGCTTGGAATGGTGGGTTGGAGCTTGGGTAGCTTCCCATTCTCTGCAAGAACCAGGGCTTCAAATCCAAATCCAAACCAATCCAAACCACCTGGCGGGTTGCCTGAGTAAAGTCGGGAATGGATGGGTTACAAGTTACAAGGGTACCCACTTTCTAAGCCAAGCGAAACTGGGTGGTTCTTGTGCTCAGTGGAACTTGAAATACGGGTGTGTCTGTTTTTTGGAGACCCCCAAAATGTCGGTCTTCCTTTCATCTCCCCTTAAAAAAGCCACCACAAAAAAAGAGGGCGCCCTCAAAACAGACACCCCCAAATCTGAGCGTCGGCACGGCTTCCGCTCCGCAAGCGCCTTCTTGGCCGCCTCGGCGGCTTCCTGGGCCTCCTTCTTCTTCCGCTCCAGCTCCAGCACCTACGAAACACCCGACCTTCGCAGGCTTGGCAAGGGAGGGCCGCAAACTGACCCTTTGATTCACTCCCTGAGCGGACTGGCAAAAAAACAACAACAAAAACTCTTTGCTTACTCGATTGCATCAAGTCCGAAGTGGAACTCAGGGAGTGAGCAAATGGATATGTCCAATAGTCAGGAGCTCAGACGCAAAGAAGGCGATTCTGCGGGTAAGCCTGCGAATCCCATTCTCTTGTTGGCTTTCAAAGGCACCTTTGGTCAACCTTCAACCACAGAGGATTGGCACCCAGCAAGTTCAAAAGCGTAAGATGCTGCACGTTGACCCAGTTCCAAAAGGGAGGTAGGGGAAGAAGGGGTATTCACATATATATATATATGTATTATTTGCGGGGGGATGCGGAAGGGTGCTTACATTATACATGTTTCACAAAGTGTGGTAGGGATGGATAAAATGGGAAAGCTGCCAAAACGAAGCAGAAGATCCTCCAGGTGTCTGCCAAAACCCAGGCACCCCAAGAATTCGAAATCAAGTGTTTCACCCATCAAAAACACACACACACATGATATGAGACGGCAAAACTGACAATGCGCACCACCATGCAGGCACAGGCTGTTTGAAGGTCTCCGGCAGGGCAATGGAGTTTCGGCTTACTGCATGCTCAAACATCTTTCGTGCCACCGACCATCCTCTTCAGGAACGCCATCGGTAGGTGACACTACTTCATGTTGAGACATCCAGCAAGGTGGCGTTCGACTCCAAAAAAGACGGAACCGCAGAACCCCTTAGGAACAGGGGGGCCACACACACACACACCCCGCAGGGAGAGAAACAGAAACCAAACCCCCGGAACCCGAAAACGCGAGAGAACTCAAAGTCCCGAGAGCCGCCTCCATCATGATTCTCGATGGGTGATTTGGTCGCTTTTTTAACTCCTGCCAGCGCTCGCCTACTTGCGGGCATTTCGACATGTGGCTGCACTGACTACGTTCAGGTGGCCTTCTGATGCTGTTCCTTCACCTTCCTGAGGCGCTCCAGACTCTTCCAGCGCTGCGTGACATCCGCGATGGACCGGTTGAGCTTCTTGGCCAACGACTTGTACGAGTACTTGGACCGGCTGTCCCCCTTCAGGCTGCAAAGCTGCTGGTCATCTTCTTCTGTCCAAGCACGAGGTACGTCCGGGGGAGTCCCTGGGTTACCGGTATCGGAATGAGCATGAGCAGGGGGTTCAGGAAGGGATTCAGGAGAGGAGAACAGGCCAGCGCAAGGAGATACCGGAGCTGGGGCTGGAGTGCGAGGTGCTGGATGCGCCGGAGGTTCCGGGGAATTTGTAGGCTCGGAAGATGTAGCTCGGCATCTCTTCCGCTTTGTTCTGCGTCGGTCCGTACCTTTCTTGTCCATGATGGAGCGGGGAATGTTGGCCTTCTTGACACCCGGCTGACCAACATAATCATGCACCATGGGACTCTTCGAGCGCGGGTCCATAGAGTCGTTGGTGTCCCCCGTGATGATGCCACAGGACAACGACTTGGGATTGACCGCCGGGTTGTGCCTGTGGTCTGCGTGTAGCTGGAGTGACTGGAAGCCGACGTGCGGCGGAGGTTCGGTCGTAGTCTCCGAAATGACCGAGCGCAGCATCACCGGACCAGGTGGATTGACCTCATCGACTCCAGCACGGTCAAGTGCTCGTGGTCGCGATGACTCTGCTAGTGACCGGCCTCGGACATATTGTTGCCGCGAGCTTCCTTGCCCGTCATGATGCCGGCGGCTGTGTGCCTCGTCAGCTTGATTCAAGGTCTCCTGGATGAGCTGCATCATTTCCGCAGGGTCATGCGATGGTGAAGTGCTATCATGCGGCCGAGCATGGCGACCACTCTCCGATGTCGGCGAGAAGGCCAACACTTTTTGAACCAGTGAATGAGCTCCGTGATCGACACAAAAATCAGGGACCAAAGAAAACAAAAAGAACCACACCCAAACGCAAAAGCCAAGACTAGCCAGAACAGGTCCGGAGAAAAAGCGAAAAGACAGAGGTGAGCCGCAATGCCAAACATCAAAAAACAGCGACGAACTGGCACTTAAAGGTTCTTTCTGGTTGGGATCGCCGGAAGATGAAACAGGTGCTGCAGGTCAGCTAACTTGTAGCCGGCGGACAAGTAAATATTGCGGAGTTGATCCAGTGCCATCTGTACTGCTCTAGCTGGGTGCGCATACTTGGTGGCGAGGGCTGACCGTGATCTGGCTCCGGAGAGAAGGGTGGAGAGGCTTCCTGCAGTGTGGGGTCCTCTTATCTGCCAAATTTTGCTTGGGGTTTTGTAGTAAATCGCCCGGTCGCCCACGTCGAGGACGAAGCCGAGGAACTCCGAAGACCCCACCTGTTCCAACACGATGGGAGCGCCGTAAAAGTCAGCTTGAAGCAGAGCCTCCAATGGAGCCGCCGGGTGACCTGAGGCTGGAGACGGGAAGATGACAAATCTGTTGTCCACATATCGCTCCAGAAAGATATTGTGACTGGCAAACCATTGACCGTAGATACGCTGCCAGAGAACTTCGTGCCTCGCAACGCATATGTGGCTGAGTACTGGGCTGAGAACCAATCACTGTCCCGTGGACTTGGCGAAGGATGAGAGTCCCAACCTGGACATACATGCATTGGAAGCTGGACTTGACGATACCCAGGATGTCCTCCATGTAAATGACACGCGTGGTCGGCGTACGTCCGTAGGATTGCCTTCCGGCAAACACTCGATTGTAGTGAACAGCTGCCTGGGTTTCCACTGAATACACAAGACCGGGTTGCCCTCGCTGGTGCTCTGCTAATAGCTGCTCGACTGCTGCACACACTTGATCCTGAGGTACACTATTGAAGAAGCCGACCAAATCGTCATTGTGGAAGGCAAGGGTGACTGTATCATCTGTGTTGTCGAAGTACTGTTTAACGTTTTGCCATATCCTTGGCGTGGGGTGTATCCCCCATGAACATTTCCATGTAACAGCTGCGATCTCGCCGAGAAGGATTGCGACTGCTTTGAAGAGCTGCCGATGTACCACCTTATGGTAGGCTATAATGGTCCGCCCCGATTTCCATTGCTTCTTGCGTTTGAGAAAGACTTTTCCAACCGGGATGGAGGTGGTCTTCTTCCTGTATGCCCATTTGTACTTCTTCTGCAGGTGCCGCGGAATGGCTTCCACAATAAGAGCCCCGGCTTGATCGGGCTTCAATGGGGTAGCTGCAAATGTGCCGGACTGAAGCCAGGTGGGATGTTGAGCTGGTGCTTGGTAAGGAGCTGATGGGTGGAGGCGTGCTGCCGATGTTGCTTAAATTGACCGCGTAGGTGCTCCATGAGGGGTGCGTGGAACTGGTCCAGGGGGAGTCCGTGATGCAAACACCATTTTCGTAGGCGTTCATGAACTTGCACTTCGTAGACCGAGAAGTCCACATAATACGACGCCAGCGCTGAGGTGTAGTGAACGTGCTGGGGGGTTCCGGAAAACCGGAACTCATCTAATCCTGCTGCCACATGGCCGTGAACGTGAGATAGCCAGGGCTGACGTTTTAGCCAGGCTGCGCATTGACACGAGGATGGTCCTGGGGATGTCAAGGAGTAGCAGTCCTGAAACGACGAGAAGTTCCACATGACTGTGTGGACTCGAGGATGAGGAGTCTCTGCCAGCTTTGTACTCGGCAAGTGGAACGGAAGTGCCCAGTTGCGGTGGTCGAGGACGAGACGACGAAGCACTTCTCTGGTGGACCGTTGATAATGTGGGTGGGACAGCCACGGTAATCGCAATAACAAGTTGATGCGGGGTTGCTGAAGTTGACGGAAATCGAGAACTCGTCGAAGAATGTTGCGAACTCGATGCCGATGAGGCTGTTCCACATTTCCAGACAACCTGTATATAGCATAGATGTCCAAGTCCGAATGCCGTCCGCTACGAAGTCGCTTTTCCTCCTCCCAGGATTCAATGTGCTCCGAGGTGAGACGAGCAATGATGGACCAGGCTTGGGTGTGTTTGAGCGCCACTCGATGAAAGTTCCTGCCGTAGACTGTGCAGCTCCTTCTGCGCAAGCGGAGGAAAAGGCGTTTGCCGAACCTGGACCAGGGTTGTTCTGCAAGGAACCTGGTGGCCGTGTAGCCAGTGGAGATGCGCTTATATCGGCGATGAATATAAGGCCAATTGAGCGACGGCTGATAAATACTGATCAAGGCATGTTCCTGGGTCCAGGTGACCCTGTGGTCGGGGTCTGTCAGGATGACCCATGTAGCAAACTCGTCATAGTTGTCGAAGTGATGCCACCATCTGAGTGCTGGTTCCGCATTGATGAATTGGCCGTGTTGAATACCCAGTAACTTGGCTCTACGATTGTGTTCTCGACAGGGATAAGTGATGCTCGTGCTTCCAATGTATACGTCAGACTGCGGGTTGACGGAGCGTGGAAGGTCCGGGCGGAGTTCGACTCGCTGCTTCCAGTACACCGCATTGGGCTGCGAGAAGTGGGTGAAGGTGTACATGTTCGGGTGGATGCGTAACCGTCGTAGTCGGCGCCTGAGTTCCGTGAGTGCATGCGTGGGACGACCGTAGTGATGAACCATGAGCAGCGTGGACAGGGACTCGGCCCACATAGATAGTTGCTTGTTGACCATCGGCATGTTGAGGATTCTGCGACTTGTGATGATGATCAGGTAGAGGACCTGATAATATTGATAGGATGCGTGAACGTCGAGTGAGTCGCCGAGTCTTAATGCAATAAGCGCCGTGAGGTAGGGAAGGAAATAGTCGGTGCCATGCTGCAGACTCACCGGCCACGAGGGCTCAGGAATACCATAGTGTCTGGCGGCACCGCATAGTTCTGACCGTTCATACTTGCCGTAGAGCTGCCAAAGAAACACCGTCTCCGGGGATTGAATGACCGGCATGGCTTAGCCATGCATCCAACGCTCGAGCACTGAACTGTTAAATGGATCAACTTGGAACAACGCCGGTCTGAAACTCCGGGATCCGA